ACCTGAAAGATGCTCATCAGCATTTACAAGTAGCTCTAGCCATTGCAGTAATGTAGCTTTAAAAAATATCAACTCCGTTACCTATAAAGTTCTTACACAAAGTTCCAGAGGAAGAATCATTCAGTAGCAAACAGTCCACTTGCTGAACTTTCGATTTCGGTATTTTGAGGTTGACAGAGTCGCGGTCTGATCCTTCTTCTGACCCCCTTCTTGTCTGGCTGAATGGCGGACCTGGATGTTCCTCCTATGTTGGTCTGTTCGAGGAGCTTGGACCATTTTATGTAAATTATGACGGACAATCACTCTACGAAAATATTTATGCATGGAATACGGTAGTTCTTTTTGACTTGTGCAAATTCACGACCGTGAATGACCATAATACTTTGAGAATTTCAGAAAGCAAATGTACTTTTTTTGGAGTCTCCAATAGGAGTTGGATTCTCGTACGACACAACACAGGATAGCTATTCCGTTGCAAATGATGATCAGACAGCAGGCCAAAATTACGCCGCTCTGAAAGATTTCTTCACCCGGTATGCCGATTAGCCTGTAGAAGGTCCTGTGTGCTAATTTTACATTACCAGCGTAAAAAATTCATTTTAAGGGTTCAACCAAAGTATAAGGACCGCACATTCTTTCTGGGTGGTGAGTCCTACGCCGGTGTGTACATTCCTATGTTGTCCAAACTCGTCGTCAAAGGGATCAATGAAGGAGATTTTCCGAATGTTGGCTTCCAGGTACGTATTTCTATCTCTCAAATTTTCTGCATTGTTTACTCCAAAAAGAATTGGGAACCAAAATCCTCTGATCGGGAGCCAAAATCCAAATGAACCAGAACAGAATTTTTCTAGGGCGCTGCAATTGGTAATGGCTTCATGCACGTTCGTCACCTATCCAATTCCATCGTACTGTGGAGCGCTTTCCACGGACGCGTACAAATTGAGTGAGTACAATGCAACTCAACCTTGAAAAATTCGTCCAGAAGGTAAAAAAGTATCGAGTTCATCGAGCTCTGTCAACGGTTGTCGTAATAAGATGTCAATGGCTCTGGAAAAAATGGAAGACGGGCGTTAGGAACGGTTTTGTGTAATCGATCGGCCGCACGCGGCTGTCGCGGACCATTTGCCTCGTTGTTACAGTTCTAGCGTTATTTATAGAGCTCAATCGCTATGCGATTATTATCTATGGCATGATTCTACTATTACTACTTTTGTTGCTGTATTTCTTACCTGCGGCTACACTCTACTACAATCCTCCGCGCGCGGCGTCCCTCTCGCCGCGACGCGACAATTTCGTTCCTACTGCATCACACCCGGGAAAAAAGGGCATGACAAATCATAGCATTCAGATGATAACCCAGGATATCTCTTGTTCGGGTGTAGGTAACCGCGACAAGTTGAACTTCAGCTTCGACTCATCGATAGTAATTACTTACTCAAACCCAAAGATCCCAGCGATCTCGTTCACTGAGATTACTGGCCAGCTCACTGATTCTTCGACTAGGTGCCAGAAGCGACAAAACCTTTAAGCTCCATCGTCTCTTGCCTTCTGCGTTGGCGTGAATCTGGGAAGTTTGGGGGTTGTCCTCTACAAGGCGTGTTGAAAGACCTTGCCTGCACAGCAGACATTTCACAATCAAAGAATCGAGCCGAAGTTGGTGATCGCAATAGATGTATCCATTTTAAGAGTTCTACAAAATGACCATTGAATTAAAGGCACAGTTCACGATAAAAATGCTTTTTGTGATTCCCCCACGAATGAATTCGAGGCCCCCACGTGTACCATATCTGGTCGTAAAACGGCTTAGTTAGGGAGTTATAAAGGCTCAATTGGCCCGTGTGTATTCTTGGATCGAGTTTCACCGGTATTGTAGAGGCTGCACCGATCACAAGGGAGCCCATGTAGGAAGTTCAAACAACTCGTCGTATCCCATAGCGCCAGTGAAAGACAATTCTTTACAATTCTGGCTCGAAGTGTTCAGTTTTTTGCGCAATTGCAACAACTGAAATCTCGTCCGAATACCCCTTCCACGTTATTTCCGTCATGGCGATCTCGTCCAACCTCTATTTTCCCTACTTTTGAGGAGCCATTTTTTTCTCGTAATCGGCAAATTCTCTCGCTTTTTTCACAACCGATGAACTACACCCAATCTATACTTCCGCTTTCGAATAAAAATAGGTACTTCAAACTTATCGTGAACTATGCTTTAAGTGCATAGCGGCTGGATTGCGTTTATTGCTTATTTTCCTTTTTTTACTCTGCAGGAGCCATTAGAAGCTGATTTCTATTACGACTAAGGCTTTCCTGATTTTTCTTTTCAGCGACTGGGAACAAATCAAAGTTGTCTGCAAAACTGGAGTCGAGACCGACGTGGAGAAATTCGATTTTACTCAGTTTATGACCTCACAGAATGGGATGGATTATGAGGCAGACAACTCTACCGAGTGTGGACGTTTGATCGCTCCCCTTATCAGCAGAGACGGGTAAGCAATAGTCACCACAAGGAACAGGATGAACATCGTTACCGTTACCGTTCAGTTTCTTCGGCTACGATTACGATTCTTACAACTACTACCAGGACTGCTATCAGGGTTCCTACAACATACCAACGAATGTAAAACGGCGCACGTCGACTCTTTCCAGACGGCGGAGAGCAACATCAGATGCATACGTGTTTGATGGCACTTCCAGTATAGGAAACAACGCTGCGGTTCAGTTTATTCTTACTTCTTGGGGGCAGGGGGCAAGAAATCAAAAAATTTCAAAATAATAGTTGGAATAGTCCATCCATATTAATTTTCAGACATTGACGAATCGTATATCAACAGACAACCAATGGGGCTTCCCTTGCTGGGCCGACTACTCACTGTACAGATATACAAATAATAGGATGATTCAGGTAGAATTGCACTATTTTGCTATCAATACTGTCCCTTGGCATTCAAGCTTCTTGGACAGTGCGACCGTGCTCACGAGTGTGGTGCAGTAAGAACGAAATTGCCACAAAACCGTTCCTACTGCCCGTCTCCCCGAGCGTGCCTACCAGAGTGGGTGCTCTGGGGTGTGGACCCTCACAAAACTCCACTCTTCTTACTTTCGGGATGATCTGATAAAAGCAAGTAGTATGTTGCACCAAAAGCAAGAAGCGGGGAAGTCGAATGTTGGTTTTATTCATTGGAAATCAATCCCATTGCCATCGCTACCGCTCACAAGCTTAGCTTACTTTAGGATTTCTAATTTTTATCAGTTTCTCCATTCTCCTGACATGGATAACTGAACTCCTTGTGCTTTTCTAACCCGATGCGTCACTCTGTTAACAGTTTTCTGGCTATTCCTCGTGGTAACAATAACAATACTTGGAAATATGAACATTCAGGATGCTCTGCATATACCAGATGGTTGGAGAAAACAACAAGGAGGGCAATACAAATGGCATGATTGCAAGTTGGTGTTTATTTTGTCATATGCTATTAGTTGCCAGAAGTAGGAGTTACTCTTCCAGAGGCATACAAGTTATCTCACAGTAAGCTGCTCGCCAGATCATGGCGAGCTGCTGTAAAGTCCATTGGAAGGGGGCATCTCTTACTCGACTTATTTGGTTCCAATTCTTGGTTCAAACTAAAACCATTTGGTTGCACCTGAGGAAAGTATCCTGGACTTAACTGCACATCTCTGACTTTTTCATTCGAAAATGATCCGGCTCGCTCGCTTTAAAAGCTGACCGGCGAGCGAGAAAGTCCTTCAAAGCACTCAACACCATTCGTTTCAGTGATGCACTTTACGACCAGTATTACATGACGTACAACACAACAAACGAATTCTTCCAGTACGTTATCCAAAATGTAAAGGTAAATGGCCATCACAATTTCAAAGATACTGCTTGTGGGTATGTAAGGCCTGTCTTAACGGCCTACCAGACTTCGTTAGGTTTATACTTTAGATGTAATTTTGTGCTCTAACCCAGTGGTGTTTGCTTGGGAACAACGGTCCATGTTGGTTCGAATGGCATTTCGATTGACTATCTGAGTGCAACGTAACTATTCTTTCACTAAACTCATTCGGAAACTTCGATTGTGGATATCCTGGTGTTAGGGAGGTCTTTCCAAGGAAGACACGAAGTGTCACTTCCCATGAACGGTTGTACCATCACTGTAGGGAACAACTATCAGCAGTTGACCGATTCCACTTTCATGCTATCTCTTAACTGAAACCTCAATGATGAAATGCACATTTTCATATGTTACTGTGGCATATTTGGCATGTGGCTTTCATGTGGCATATTGTCCCACGGTAACATATTTTACATCTTGCTACAACTATTTACCACCAGTCGAGACACAGCAAGATTGAATGAAGTGTGGAAATTGGTGTACAAAAATGATGAACCGTTCAAATGCAGGAAGAAATGCCCGATGTTAAGCATTCCCGATTTTTAGCACTATCTCATTGCAAAAGATAAGCTGCTGGATCACAGGTCTTCTTCAACTTTTTCAAAGTTGCACATTTGTCCGCTGAGCCTTGTCCGCTGAGCCTTACTGATGACAGGGCGCTATAAGTGAAGTTTCAGATGAAGAAGTTTAGTAGTGGAACCTTCCTTATAACCAACTCTATTAATTCCTTTTATTTAGACTCCAAACTTCCGATTCCTGATCTACAATGGAGACGTAGACACGGCTTGCAATTATCTAGGAGATTCATGGTTCATAAGAGACGTGGCAAAAGAGAACAATTTGAAGGTAAGCTTGTACCCCGCACATATTTAATCCGCATACCTACCTACTTGTACATTACCGCATCGATATCTTCCCAAGCCGACCAAGTTTTCTGTCTCTCAGGGGTCGGTCGCTTGTTACTGGATGGTCAGGGAGTGTAGAAACGGTAACAGTGACTGGCCAATGTAATCAGTCCTATAGATAACATGCGCAACCTTCGATTGCGTCAATACGATTCTGAATTGAAGTCGAATGCAGGACGCATAATGGTGACGAGATTGATTAACGCCGACGACCATTAGGCACTTTTATAAGTCTCAGCGCCCTGCTATCTTCGTGGAGACTTCTAGAAAGGGTCAGTCAGAAGCTTCATGGGATAATCCGCATGTCAGGAAAGCCTAAATGATGGCACTTGCGCCTGAGGCGTTGCTTTTTTTTGATTTTTTCACGGATCTGATCAGGTGTTTTGGCTACTCGTAAAAGTTCTCAAAGTGAAATTCCTAGACAATGACCCAGTTCGATTGGAGAATGCACCCCTATTCTGTTAGAAAACTTTGATATGAAAAAGAAGTATTACGATTGTTAACAGTAGTTTAAAGATGTGGGAATCCTGAAATCCCACGCTCATCGTTTTTAGTATTATAGTAGTAATCCTGAAGAACAATCCACGACTTGATACCTCGAACTATGGTACCGTTACTGCACTAATTTTGACAAAACTGTAGCTGTCACGTAGGAGCGATTGGCTCAAAGAATCCTGTCTGAGGACTCCCTCTGACCTCTCCTCTAGAATATTTTTAGAACCTCTTAATTTTGCGTTGGAAAATCTTGGCTCGTGTCCCATACCATCTTGAGATCAGCAATTTCAGCCCGAAGACCGTATTCCGTGGTTCTTCAGCAGTAATAATCAGTTAGCTGGATTCGCACAGCGTTACTCAGGACAAGGAGCACAAGGGGCATACATCTCCATTGATGTCCTCACTGTCAAGGTAAAATATTTATTTCTAATTTACCTTTCCACCCTTCTTGAATGTTAGTGTCGGCTCAAAACTTCTCGGAACATCTTAGGGTGCTGGACATATGGTCCCCAACGACAGACCTGGTCCATCAGTACAAATGATCACGAACTNATCAGTTAGCTGGATTCGCACAGCGTTACTCAGGACAAGGAGCACAAGGGGCATACATCTCCATTGATGTCCTCACTGTTAAGGTAAAATATTCATTTCTAGTTTGCCTTTCCATACTTTTTGGATAGTAGTGAATGCTCAAAATATAACGAAACATTTTAGGGTGCTGGACATATGGTCCCCAACGACAGACCAGGTCCATCAGTACAAATGATAACAAACTTTATGTTCTCTGGTCCAAATGGTGTCAACTACACTTCCACAGCTCACACAAATCCTCAACCTGATGTGAAAATACGCCATTATTTCAACAGTTGACCTTCATCAATATCATTTTGTTCAGGTTTCCCCATTGAAAGCAGCAACAACGCTCGCGCTGCCGTTTATGGTCATGTCGCTAGCTGTTATTAATCAATAACAGTGTAAAATAGACTGTACATAAAAGACCTACCCATTTCTACGTACATTTTTATTCATGTACATCACAGAATTCGACTTACTGACTCTGTCTGACTACAAGTTATTTACTGCCTCGAGAAGTATCGCAAAAAATCGGATCAGGTGTGTGATGTGTTGGGTTTGACCCATGATGAATGGGAAATACATAAATCGGGTGTGGTGCAGTAGGAACGAAACTGTCGCGCCGCGGCAAGAGAGACGCTGTGCGCGAAGGAATGCAGCAGAATGCAGAAGCGAGTAAGAATTACAGGAACAAAAGAATCAACAGTAGAAGCATGGCAAAAGTAATAATTGCATAGCGATTGAGCTGTATGTAAACGCAGGAAATGTTATAACGAGGCGAATGGTCCGCGACAGCCGCGTGCGGTGGTTCGATTTCGCAAAACCGTTCCTACTCCCACATGTGAGCCCATTCATCGTGGGCACAACCCACGGTTGTCGTGGACATTTAGAAGAGTAACGTAAGGTAGCCATACACTTCGGCGTCGCCTTGAGGTCAACTCGAAGTTCAAAAAAATGTTCAAGGATGAACAACGGAACTGAGGACAGCAACAAAGGATCGGTGGAGAACGAGCAGTGACCTTGGGCACCCCACTGGGGCGGTGTCAAAAATTTCAGATCCTGTAGAATAGCTAGAAATAAACAAAGGGGATAAGATAAGCAGGGATAAAGATAAGATAAGATTAAAATAAGATAGAATGTAAAATAGGGAATAAGATAGGTATTGTTAAACAAATTCATCTAGACTATGCGCAATGAAATCATACAGGACATTCTCATCTTTATTTGTACAGTAATCACATAATTATAATTCCAGTAAACATAAACACATATCAAATGAAACGGGAAATATTTCCAACATTCAGCCGAGAAAACTTCAATGGCGACATGTTGCGAGAAAATGTTGTCAAATTACTGCTGAGCAGTAGGAGTTGCAGACTAAAAGGAGGATATGGGAGCCGAAGAGATCGTCCATGGCCTCTTCGCAGTTCTTCCCCCTGAACATCATAAGTGATTTCACAGGAACCCAATGTTTTAAGGCATAGGAGGTATGAGAATACTAAAATTTTGAGAAGTCGCCAATATCAGAGATTTTGAAATGATTAACGCAAATAATTTATTCTATCCTCGTGTGGAAATAGATTTTCAAAAACAATTATTTGAAAGAGAAGTATGACCAGGTTAAGACTAGGATGTATAACCAAGGAGCGATTAAAAGAAAAGAGTAGAAACGCACTTCAAAACTTTGACGAGTATAAGTTTCCGAAGCCTCGTTGCAGCGACTTTCATTGGGACGTCGAAAGCAGAATAATCTTAGAAATTTACTAAAAAGTCCTCCAAAACATCCGAACAACGCTGAAAAAGTAGACATGCACTCCTGTTGTTACTGGAGTTAGCAAAAGAAGAAGGAAAAAGAGATCTTACGTCGTCGCTGCCTGTTATTTACGGTGATAAAGACCATTTTGCATGTAACAATGTTGTGTGAATGGTAGGAGGATCAATAAGCTATTTGGGTCGGAGCCACTTGTAACTTGTAACGGGTCAAGTAGATCCCCGTAGGTGCCACTTGAACGCTGGTCAGGTCATTGCGACCTCGTTCAGACAATGATGCCAATGTGTTTTGTCACTATGATATAGCAGAATGATCGATGGCTTATGAACGGACAGGTGTAGAGATGTAATGGGAACGCTCTCGTTCGAATCTTTCCCGTCTCCCATAATGCCGATAGAGTAGATAACCAGTTTCTTTACAAACTTTACGTTTTTCAACATCTAACCTTTGTTAGACATCGACCAACGACAAATCTGAAATTCTTCATTAGGTCTACCTGAGAACAAGGTTCCTTAGAGGATACATACCATGTGCCTCAGGATAGGGTTCGTTGTATTTTGTAATGATCATCGGTTGAAAACTCGTCTTTATGACACAATTTACCGAAGGCTGCATTTAGACTTAGCGTCGTCGGCACATTATCGAGGTCAGACATAAATTGGTCACTTGGTGCACCTTCACAATGTTGGATTCTCGATATCCATCCACCCTTGAATTTCTGTTGCAAATGGATGCCGGCAATCGGTACTGCGATAAGTTCTACTGATCTAAAGTCACTCTTTCAAGTATTCTCTTGGAATTACGGCTACTTACTTCTCACAGTATTAGACACAGCTCTATTGGAGCCGATTGGTGACGGGCAGTTTTACCAGTGACGATCGGCAACGTCGCTGTTTTTCAACCTTTTATCAGCTTCTTTTATCCAGAATGTTGAAAAACGCTGATTAGCTACCGATCAGTGGACCATCCTTGATTGTTCACTCCCCAAAACGATGACTAAGGAACAGGAACACTTTCACGTGCCATCTGAATGAATCTCAAATATAATAAAAAATCAAAATGGACCCAGGAATTGAGACGTTTGAGCTACAGAAAACAGAAGTGAACTCCTACTGACAACTGCTACTCAGTGAGATTCAGAAGATCTTTTCACTTTTGCTATTCTTTGCCTATTTAGTTAGATTTCCCACGAAACACCTAGATCGATCGACTGCACCATACTAGGAGCCGTTGCCTCACCTGCTCCACCCTATTCTATACCTATGTAGGTGGCGAGGTGCATCACGTGAGCTAAAGACTGGGCTCATTGACTCAAAAGCGAATTTCATTCGTTTCATTTTTCATTTCAAAGCGAATTCTTTCTTCAGAGGACCAGTGACCTCTATAACCACAGCAGTTTATTGACAGTTCAATAAATCAATGCAAAATTGAACTAACACGAAATGCTCACCAACTTTTGAAGCTGGTTAGTCTGTATATGTCAATAAGTATAGTGGTAATATAATTAATGAGATAGAACAGTAATTAGAAGTCATGCAAATAAATAAATCTGGAAACATTGACAGTATCGATTTTGGATCTCGCCAATTCCGTACGAGATCATTAGTTAGTATTGTGCTTGACACAGACGACTTGTGAACCAGCCTGACCCACAGTAGCGTCATTAGCGAACTCAGTTCCCTGAATAGGCATTCTCAGTTACTGTAGCCTTGGACAAAGTATGTCAATAAAAGTATCAACTACCTCAAATGGCTTCGGCTCTACTTCACTATCGCACGTGCGATTGTTTAGAAAATTCAGGATATTTCCAAAAAACTCTCCAATATAGTTGTGGAATGAGAGACCTAAAAAGGAGAACTGGACGATACTGAAGAGGATCGGTGACTGGCATGATTGCAGTTGGAACTCACTGTGCTGAAGCCTCGATCGAGATGAGAAGAACAGCATTTCAGAGATGTGAGCAGAGCAGAGGAGTCTATCTGAATGGAGAGCTGTGAACGAACGTCTCTACGAGAATGAGAGACTGAAGAAACAGAGGATTACTGGTCACCCTAGAAGAGCAATGATAGTGTGGGCCAACCTTGTCGGTTACCAATATCAACAACGAAAAAGGCGCGATATCAGCGGGAAGTAGTGGGGTCAATAGAGCAACAATACCTACTATTGAGTTGGTACAATGGAAAAAATTGAACCCCGATTTCCTCTCATTCCTGAGAGGGAAAGGCGTTTTTGTGAGGACTAGAACAAAAAGGAGAACGACCATAGGTGATCATTCCCTCTTATTCTTCGAAACTACTAGTAAATTAAACTGGGCTGAGGTGGTTAGTTGCTATCGAGATTTGTTCATTAATTGCAACTGGGTGAATCAATTTATGACCTTTGTCCCCTTGTCTACTACCCACACCCGAACAGAAAAAGTGTTTCCAAAAAGAGGCAAAAACGGAAAGGGTGATTGTAGTTTCGTATTCGATCGGCATTCAGGTGGCCCACATGGGTTGTTTTCACCATCGTTACTTTACATATGTACTTTGGCATGGGGCAAAGGACACATAGATGATCCAAGGAACCGGAAGCATGGAGAACAATCGAATGAAGAGATTGGCGAAGTTGGAAAGACTGACTGACAGAACAGTTTTTAGAACGATAGCCACGTCAAATGCAAAGTAAATCGGGTCTTTCCGAGTTCTCCGGGTAGATGACTGAGAAAGCTCCACTGATATACCGGATTAGACCATGAAGCCCCTCTACCTGCCATTCAGGGGCAGTTTCACCCTATTATCTTACCTTTAGAAACATATCAATCATTTTACACATGGAAACTGCTTTAGAGCACAAATTGGATCACATCGTTGTAGGTGTAAAGGAACACCTTGGAATGCTGCTTTGTTGAAGGCACAGTTCACGATAATTTTGGGGTGTCCAATTTCAGAAGAATCATAGATGTGATAGTTCAGAGTAGTGCATAAGTGGCGATGAACATGCGCATTAAGCGAAGTAAGAGGCTTTAAAAAAGTTGTAAAATTAGGGTGTGGACGAGAACGTCATGGAAAAAACTGCATTCGGACGAGCTGTGTGTGCCACCTATTACAGGAAGCAGCCTGCGTTCAATAAGTGGGTCCCGGGCGTGGTGCCTTATCCCCGAACGGCGTGTCACGCTCGCCACGCTTGACTGCGCAGGTGAAAAATTTGAGTACCCAGTGGAAGAGTGAGGCAGTCGCCGCGGAACAGCTGGCCGTGGAGTTCGGAGAGAAGTTCCGGCACCCTAGGCTGAGCCGATTCTCTTTGGAGCCCTTATTACGATCTTCTAAGCCGTTTTTCGACCCGATAGCGTCACCTGCGCTATCCTTAAGAGTAACAAGTCTTTCTTGAATAGAATCTCGAGACCCTAGGCTGCTAAATATTTCTGGCAATGACTATGTGCAAACAATTAGAGCATTAAATAGAGAGGAGCAATTCTCATAATGTACTTATTTGATGTATTTCGAGGATAGTAAGAGCAATCAATGTCTATCAAGTGCAAGCATTGATTAATTGGCACAAGCCTATTTATCAGTCCCTGGTTTCTCACTTCCACGTATGTACATTGAACACGACTAATTAGATAATTATAATATTTTTGTAATGAAGAGGGACAAGCAATTGAACCGAAGACGAGATGTCATCTAATCAGTTCTTGGGTGAGAACTTCTTATTCTCAATATAGGCTCGCCTCTTCCTTCTTTAACCAGTAAGGTGCCACACGGTATGACCACGATACATGCAATAACTAGATAGCAACTGAGAGATAGTCGTGGCAGGATCCAAACAAGTGTATGATATTGTAACGATATAATCGCGAAGATAGTGAAGTAGTAAAGTGATATAAAAGCAGTCGATAGGCGACCAATCAAGGGTCGGGGCGTCGAGGGGACTGCCTTTGAAGTCTCTCGGCCCCTTCGTTCCCACTGCAGTATCTTGACCCGACTTGGCATATTCTTATGGTAGCATATGGTTTTTGGTTGTGACCCGGCCTCTGATTTGGCCTATCGATCGACTGTAAAAGAGGATGCAGAAGAAATATTTAGGTGATCCAAAAACGGACAATTTTGGGCGGCGTTATCGTTATTTGAAAAGTTTGCGTTCAGTTCCCTCTTTCTCAACCTCGTAACTTTCAATTCATGAAATTCTGACTACGAGAACATTCTTTCATGGATATTTTCCTCTGAACAGCAAATCTTTTGGACCCGTTGCGCTCGCCAATCTGTTCACTAAATACAATGAAATATCGCAACAGAAGGAGGCAGGATTGGCACAAGTGACCAAATAAAGTTGAAAAAACTCTTGAGTCGGTTTCTAAAAGTTCTGTAATTTCCTGTTTCTACAGTACCCACAATCTACTAAATGGTAGTTGTAGTATTCATATCTACAGTAGCGCTCAAAAGTCTTCGGTGAAATGCTTTGACGCTTTTTCGCTCATAACTTTTTTCGTAGTAGAGCAAATCGCGAGGAAATTTGGATATTTTTAACTAGAGCATATTTCACCCTACCCAACACAATTTGACTGCGAAGCTGCAACATCCACAGATAGAGCAAGGTGTCTGTTGCGGTAGCAGATTTTGCTAGAAGTAATTTTGTTGACGTCTGCACTTATTCGCACCTTATGTGCGTTTTTCTCATCAATTGTGTTCGGCATTACCGCTCGTACACTTTAGACATTTCAAAAAGGAAAGAGACTCTGGAAGGACCACCATCTGTATTTTCAGTCGATTTTGAGTTCATGCTCCTTGGAATATCTGGAACATGATCGGATTGCAGGGGAATAGTGATAAATGTTCACGATACGCCCATGCTACACATATTGAAATTTCGCATGATTAGATCTAGTAGGAAAGAAGTTACGACTGAAAAATACGGGTGAAGAAGTATTTCACCGAAGACTTTTGAGCGCTACTGTATATAATGTATAATTATTCTTCAAATTCAATCACGATATCATTTCTCCAAGCGATCATCTTTTATGAATGGCATCGCTGCATCTGAAGGCACAGTTCACGATCAAAATGGTTTTGAGCAATATCCCGCTAGGATAAATCTCTGGCCCCCTCATGTACTATATGTGGCGCTGTCAAGCCGGGGAACGGCTTAGATAGGCGCTGCAAAGGCTGAAAGGTGTCCCATGTGAATGCTCGGACGAGTTTCAACGACACTGTGGAGGCTGCACCATTCACAACAGCGCCCATAAGGGAAGTCCAATCTGTTTGACTTCCATACTAACCAGTTCTGTGAAAGGAGGGGACCTTGTNTTGTAATTGGAGAGAATGTAGTGAATAATAGTGATTACATTGTTACACGAATACCATTGGAGGTTCGAAAATTTCGAGCACAAAAGGGGTCATACGGTCTGAAACCCTCCAGCCTAATTGCCGAACTAGTAGTTCTACTAGTAATTTTGAGTTCTACTAGTAATTTTGAAGACGAAGAAAGCATAGCCACACGAACTCAGTGCAAAGTTATTTGTAACATTTTTATTTCAAATTCGACCATAAATAATCTTTGCAGGTATATTCACTGAGATACACAAACCTCAACAATACAGAAACGCTAATCACAACTGTTCTAACGTACATAAAATAGGCACATATCAATAAAATATCCGTAGGAGTACCAGCATGAAGGATATGAAGTAAAGTTGACATGTAGAGGAATCTCCAAGGAACTTCGACAGCTAAATAGCGAATAGAGCGAGATTACAACCTTTATAAAATCGATTGCCTCATGCTATGTGCAGCATACTGTAGTCAGCGCTACAGTACCTAGATATTAGAGAGGATCTGACAGCTGAATCGGAAAACATCCGGGAAAATAATATTCCACTACATACAGGAAGATTAGATTGACTACCCTACTCAAAGTTGACATGGAAGGGGTCGATCGCGTAGCCTTAGCAGGTCGGAGGAAAAGGACCGTGTCTGATCCGTGCAAAGACTCATACCCATAAGCTGCCGTCACAACAATAAGCTAAGAATCATTTTTTCTTACCTGTATTTTTTTCACCAATTCCGGGCTCTACTCCTTCCCATCACAAAGTCGGAATGCCTGGTTGACCCTTCAATCCCCATTTCGGAACTGTTGGTCCACTTCCAACTACAAAATTTTGTCGAGGAGACCACAGAATTTCCCTCTTATGCCCATGTTCTTAGAGATGTCCATCCAGCGAGGAACATTATATTCTTCTCCTCACTGGGCACGCTGGTCAAATTTAGGCATTTTCTGCTTACTGTAGTCAACTCTTCATGACTGTNTAATTGCATAAGACCGACACCTCCTCTGAAACTTCTTCCCTTCTTGTCCGTGTCTTCGAGGAAATAATCCTGTTTGAGTGGGTTTGATTCTGTTAAGTCACCATAAACCATCTATGTTTTCCAAAGAGGTCTTTGTAGTGAACATACTCCCTGGGTTCAAATCCTTCGGAATGCGAAAGTCCTCAACAGAACTATAATCATGGCATGGCACGCCGACTGCAGCAGTGACATGACAAAAAGATCTATATATTTGGACTCACTTCTGGTTCGGGATTCACGTTAGCCGTCGAAGAGTAATCTACACCTTGATTTGTAGGAAACATGAAATTAGTAATCATTTGTACAGCCGGGCCAGGTCGGTCGAACGGAACCATATGACCAGCACCCTGCAATTACGAAAAATAAGTCCAAACCTTTTCCTTACGCGAGAAGCCCCGGCATGGTCGAGAAATCGGAAAAGAAAGTAGTATTGGGTTGGAAATGATCGTTTAGACCTTTGGCTTTCCTTCATCAGAAAGGAAACGCACAAAATCAATTTCAAGTAATCACCTTGACCGTGAGGACATCAATGGAAACGTCTGCGCCGGCACCGCTACGCCCACTGTATCGTTGATTGAAACCAGCCAGCTGATTGTTTCGGCTGAAATACCACGGTTGCCGTGGTGAACTCTGAAATTCCTATATTAAGGAGCAGAACCATCTAAAGAAGAGTGCCGTATATCAAATGTTAAGCCCCTCAACGTTATTGAGCACCATGAGTAGTAAATTTACAGCCAAAATTATCACCTTCAAGTTCGCTGCCGCCGCTACATCTCTCATATGCCAGGAGTCTCCAAGGTAATTACATACAGTATCCACATCACCATTATAAATCAGAATGCGGAAATTTGGCGTCTGAAAGTGGACCGAAGAGAATCACTGAGCACATGCATTCTATTCCAATCAATCGCTTACTTTAACGTTCTTGAGGACATAGTCGAAAAAGGCGTTCGTTGTGTTGAACGTGTTATGATAGTTTTTGTAAATTTTGTCGCTGAAAATAAGCAGATGTGTAATAAATCTAAATTTCCTTTCGAAAACTCTCATAAACGTTCTGAACAAATCCCTATGTCGCCATTTTGTTTGGTTCACTTTTAAACGGGTGTGGTGCGTTAGGAACGAAATGGTCGCGTCGCGGTGAGAGGGGCGTCGCGCGCGAAGGAATGTAGCAGGATGCCGCAGTAGGTAAGAAATACAAGAACAAAAGTACTAATAGTAGAATTATGCATAAAACAATGATCGCATATCGATTGAGCTGTATGAAGAACGCTAGAGCTGTAATAACGGCGAATGAGTGGTCCGCGACAGCCGCGTGCGGCAAATCGATTACCCAAAATCGTTCCTAACGCCCGTCTCCCCTTCTAAACAATAGTCTGTAATGCTTCAAGAAGTCAGTCAAAAGTAATTTCGATTCTCTCTTCTATTACTGCGAACAAGCATGTCACGGTCTTCCTTTTAACAGCCCCGAATACAGTAGTGTACTGTACTGTACAGTATCCGAGATATTTACACAAAAAATATGGACTAACAATGTAGGAGATCTTCTCAGTGATGTTAAATAAAGGATTTAGGTGGAAGTTCCGGTGTGAATCAATTCTGCTTCTAGGATGCGCCCTGAATTCTACTTCCACACAGAATGGTGGAGCCATATGGACGCGGCTCATACAGTGAGCGGCCAGCCGATGTATGTACATTGTCAGTGCTTTTATCCTCCCAGCCTAGTCCAGTACCTATAAACCGACCCCTTATTGGTTAGGGGTGGGTGGCTCGATTGGTCTGGACAGAAATTGGTCGTGGATTCAATCTCCTGACCATGCTTGTGTGATAGTGCGCCAGTTGTCACTGCGCTCCACGCCTATTGACGTTGAAAAGAAAAACTCGCAAATCTAATTTGTGCACTTAGCCAGTCAACCGGAACTTCCACCTAAGTCCTTTATTTAAGATCACTGGGAAGAACTACTATATAATTTCACAATGCTTTATTACAGATAAAGATCCACTCAATTCTCAATTTTCTCTTAACATTAGTAGAAACAATGCCCATCAGAACAAGCATGCAGAGCAACCCGGGACAGTTCGCTTCAAAATGGTACCGGATACTTCTTACTGGACAAGTCCGTGCTTCTTGAGAGTCACCTGTGGCGTTGTCGGGTTGGAAAACGTTGAGGCTGAGGCTGAGGGTAGGTTAGGGGGGAGGGGGCATGAGGCCTAAGGGCTCGACATCCAGTTCAATGTCCACTTCTAACAATGACTTCGAAGCTGGTGGGCCAAATCCCATGTTAAGGCCGACCAAAGGGTTGAAAGAAACTTGAAAGTTCAGCGTATACTTAATAACAAGTTCTTTTCATGCAGTGTTAAAATGAGCCCAACTATAATATAGGAAGGATTTGTTTACTGAATGCCACTTCACTCTAAAAAACAAACAAAGTACTATCAGTTGAGAAAAAAGTAAAAACCTACTTGCAGTCCGTCCACATAAACGTGCCGTTTGCTTGTTTCCTCCAAGCATCCGGGATATGCAGCGCATCCTGGACGTCTCCTCTGTTCGCGTACTCGGCAACAGCAACTTCATTCCAACATGGATAACCCCACTGATTATCAGTAGAGATATAGTTGATAAGTGTCTGAAAATCAAAGCTCAATCTCCATGTGAACATCTAATTCCACAGTTTTCCTGACTTTTTTTGGAACGAACCCCCACTTACCCTACACGCACAATCTTTGAGCTATTTGGATGAGTGCGGAGTATACGCAAAGATATTACTATTAGCGATTTTATAGCTCGGTGAAGCGATAAAAGGCTAGAAAGATATGGTCCATGGCCCAACCAAAGGCAAAGTTCTTGATAAAAATGTTTCTGAGGTTTTCTACTAGACCCAAGGATAGTGAATGTGACATTGTCAGGCCCAAAAAGGACTTAGACGGAGCACAATAAGGGTTACGAAACCGGTTCAGCCGAAATACCCACCCAAAAGTTGCCGTGTTATGACTTCCCTAACAAGGCTGTACCATTCATAAAGCAGGGTTAAGGCGCCGACGGATAGTACGCATAGGTGGAAGACACCCAGGCGGTTCTAGCAGGCAATGCATCAAATGGAATCTGCGATCATCCGCCTCCTTCTTCGTTATCAGGTAAATAATTCTTTCAGCTGTAAAGTGTGCCGTCAACGCTATGAATGGTTGCTTTCATAGTCCGGCGTGCCCCGAGGCAGTGCTAGGGAGGAGGAGGGCGGCAGACGGTCGGTCGAAGGGATGAAAACAAATAAGAACAAGATCAAAAACCAAACAACCAGGGGCTCGTACAAATGGCTCGCCGGCTCGCCGGCCGGCGGACTATGAAGGCAGCCAATACGCCCAGGATACATATTTCATGTCATTTTTTGACTTCGTAGCTAGCTCATATGGCTATAACAGAAAAGGCATCTCGTCAAGATTTTCTTCCTTCCTCTGTGGTGGTGTTCTCATATTACCTCATTTTCATTACTTTCCTGAAGACTCAGATTTATCTGAATACACTGGTTTCCGCGCTTTTTCGCAATTTTCGAGCTGTGCTGCGCCATGGCTCCCATTACTTCAATTTCTTGTGAAATACCTCAAAATAATCGTTAACTCTGTCTTTAGTATTAGCAGCTATCATGATTATCAACTAGAGTATCGTCTCAAATAGTCAGACTACTGACAACGTAGTTGAGAAGATCATATTAATGCTAAACTTGTCCAAATTTGGAATTCTAGATTTAGAATAGAATACTTTTTTTACATACCGCAGTATTTTTCGATATGGACGACGTTCCCTGGAACTGACCTTCCGATCGCACAGGAGGTCGGCGAGCTGGGGACTCGATAAGCGCATAATCATAGCAGTCTTGGTAGTAGTTGTATGGGTACATTCTATAATCGAAAAAAATCGTTCGAGATTCAGCAGGAACGGAGGGATAATTCAACTGAAAATCTGATGCTCATCATTGTTTGTAACTGCCTAATAAATAGAAACGATTGAAGCGAATAGAAACGAGTGCGTGCCAAAATTTGCATATGAAATTAGATCGGACATTGTTCGAACTTACTGGCTCGGATTGGTAATTAATGGATTAAGTAGTTGACCGCAAGTCGAATTGTCTCCAATGTAATCGATACCATTTCCTATCTAAAAACCTCATTTTTTAGAGAGCAGCGAGCCTTCTCAGAAGAATATTACTGGAAAGGCTCAGTCAGAGTGTCTTATTAGTTCGCGATGATTCAATGGGCGGGTGTGTCAATGACGTGTCCGCCTCTCATTCAGACAGTCTGACGTGGCGTCGAATGAGACACGGACACGTCATTGACGTGCCCGCCCATTGAATTATCGCGAACTGTACCTTTAAGGGAATGCGGTAGTCATCAATTTTCTGTATAAATCAGGAAAATTGCTACATGAAATGTGCCTCCACCGTTGAATGCACAATTCAATTTTGATTTTGATTAGTCCAATCAACTTGAAAATCGCATGGTAATTCAAGCATGCATTCCGAGAAGGTATGTAAATATATATAATATCTATTTATCTAAATAAAAAATCTTGTTACTTCATACAAAATCCGAAACTGCATCGATTATGTGCATGCGATACGCTGAAACTTTCATAGACCTATTGACCAGGACAAAAAATAGTTTTTACATTTGAATACAGATGTAATACCCGTTCTAGGTGAATTATTCTTCAGCAGTACAAGAAGAAATAATACTACACTAAATGTAAGGTCACGAACGAGAATGAAAGTATTGGAATGCGGTGCGCTGCAAGTTCAGGACACAATCCACCCCGAGAATTGTTGCTGAGATTTCCTCCTTTGATGAGTTTTTGTCCCCCAAGGACAGCGTAAGGGACTTTGTGTGGACGAAAAACAGTCAATAGGGCCTACTAAGGGCTCTCAAAACCTGCTTAGCCGACATGCACATCCGAGACGGACGAGCTCTTAGCGTTTTGAAAGCTGTCGAAATTGCACCATTCACACTGGGACCCACACCTTGACGCAGGCAGCGTACCGCAGCATGCTGTAGACAACGGTGCGCGCGTTCGTACAACTCGTCCAAATACCCCTTACATGCAGCTTTCTTTGTAATATTTCCATCCTACCCCTAATTTTACTTCCTTTTTGAAGACCTCTATTCCTCTAAAAACGCCGACTTTGCTTTTTCTTCGCTGTTTTTTGCATTATTCTGGACTATAACATCCATTATTCGTCTAAAACTAGATAATCCAAAACTATCGTAAACTGTGCCTTCAATTTGTGAAATACTGCTGTTATGAACTCGTAAGGGAGATATCATACCGTAACAATGTATCGAGTGAAGTCTGCTTTGTCCAAGTCCGTTTCGCCACTCGTGCATTTTGATTTAATATAATTCCAGTCACTGAAATTCCGAACTGAGTTGGTTTTCGTGACTCCTTCATTAGAGATATCATATTCTGAATCATGTTCTAAATAACCGATCAACCAAGTCAAGAGCAGACGATGAAGAGAGCTCACCTCCTCCCTCTGATTTCAGCAATTCAAAAGTCATTTTGATTGAAATTGGTCTTATAAGAAACTCTCTTCTCTTCTCTTCACTCGCTCTTCCGTAAATTCTACACTTCATTACGTACTCATTGAACATCCTTCAACCCAACTTCCACTGCTAGGGAGAACAGCTCAATTAAGAATTAAAACTCTCAAAAGTGACTTACTCGAGAGATACTCGACCGTGGTATGCACTCCACAATACTATTGAGTTGAGAAGATACTTGACATTTAGGAAACCATTTCCAATAGCTGCTCCCTGAAATCAAACAAAACATAATTGCTAGAGTTTAATTTAGGACATTAATCGACTCCTCACCTGGAAATTTTTGTTTGGAAAAGTTCCATCGTTAATACCTTGGATGATCAATTGTGACAACATCGGAATGTAAATTCCTGCATATGACTCTCCCGAGAGAAAGAAGGTTCTATTTTTATATTTTGGCTGCACACTGAAATAGAATTACAAAACACCGGCTCATACATGAACCATGCAATGGACAAAATCAAGGGTCTTGTAGCTATAACTTCAGCAGGTAGAACTGCTTTCGAACTTCGAAAGTTCTGAAGCCCCAGATCCAAGCAAGCAGTTTTCGCGCTCTCGCGCCCTCTGGGTAGAGCCACAGAGAGCGCTCCAAGTATCCATTCCATGTCACTCACTCATGGTGATTTCATTTGACCCTGCTGACCCTATCCATTACTTTTAAAAATTCTCATGTCAGGAAGTCGGGCGCGCTTCGTTGCGCGCGTCCGTCGAAACCAGGTCACGCCGCAGCTGTCGCATGCGGCGGGTCAGCCCGCGATACTTGACAGATGTCGCAGTTCTCAGTAGGGCATACGATTTGCGCTTGGTCCATGGCAGTTAGCCAAATAAAACGGACAAATGCAAATCGTTCGCTCCATTGACACTTGGTGATAATGTAATGTCGTCTTGAAACCTCATTGGGGCGCGCATCATACCGTGCGCCGCGCGCGAATGGGCGGGGTGACCTACTTTCGACGGATGCGCGCAACGGACGTTCTCCCAGGAAGTCTGCCAATTTTTCGCTTTCTTCGCCACCGGGACACTATTCTTCACCGATCCTTCCGCTTATCAACTTCACGGGAATACCTCAGGATTATCGTAATTTGTAGAGGATATTGATAGGTGGGGACGTGCTTGACATGTAAAGGTCTCATTGACATGTTTTTTGGCGTGTATTCATGTAGTATTGCCAGTTTTTCCGTATTGACGAGTCAATAGTAGACGTGTGTAGACAAGGCAAGCCTTACATAAGGACGCGTCACCGTCATTCAATTCATTATTCGACTTTTTCGAACTCGGGTGCTTCGTATCGCATAATTTTTTGTGTGTGCCGTTATAAAACACTTATCCTAACCCGAACCACAATACGAATGGATGGTTCAACCACACTCAGCCGAGATTGAACCCACATTGTGTCTCAAAAAGTTGTTTCGGGACATTTTCGGTATGGCTTTTATGTTGAGTTTATACTTCCAATAGCTAGCACCTGTTGCAGAATGTTTTTAGTTCATCCCATTGTTATTGCGCTGTTTTTTGCGGGACCGCAAATGTTTACTGTGCAACACAACTCCTTTGTATTCCGGAATAGAGTCTCTCGAATTTGTGAAAGAGAAATTATACAATAAATGGTTCACTCACGTATTGAAAAAGTCTTTCAAAGCAACATAATTTTGGGAAGCTGTTTGCGAATCATCAGCGTCGTAGAAGCTGTCATGCACACTGTCGTAAGAATATCCAACCCCGATCGGCGATTCCAGGTAAAGTACATTTGCTCTCTACAAATTCAGTAAATGAGTTTACAAATTAAATCAACCTCGTTTTCTGAAGACGTGATTATTCTTGCTGACAAATTTGATGAACATTGGCGATACTGTAAAATGTGCATCTGAAGAAGGCCTTAGAACCCTGCCAACAGTTAGAGGGGTGTGAGTACATTGTCCGTTTGGAGGTGCGCGCGGCAAACTACGGGGCGAATTTCGTGGCGATTTTAATGACTCGGCGCCTAGCATTAGGCCGCAGGTTTGAGGTAGAGCAGATTGGTAGGATCAACTGACTCTACTAACTAATTTACTTCAAATTTGTGCCTCAATGATAGGCGTTAGAGTCCTTCAAATCGCAACGTATTTGCCGCGCGCACCTCCAAACGGGCGAGTGTTCCGTCCCCTCCTAAAAGGGTATGGGTTTCCTCACACAGCATGCCACGCTCAAAGCATCCGATCACACGTAAGGTGCGCTGAGAAGGAGATGATTTGAATTTATAGTAGTGTGGTGTAGTGAAGCTTTTTTGATAATACATTTTTTTTAAAGCAGCTGCTCTAAAAAGAAAAGAAAAACGGAAAGGACAACTCTGTA